ACATAACCACAGTTCCTCCGGGACTTGGAGACTGTGACATAACCTAAAATGATGTAGCATGGGGTACATAGATTTTGCATCTACGGCAAATATATACATGATTTGGAGCAAACTATTGTATGGGTGAAAAATTAGATTACATTGTTTCGAGATATTTTTTTCCAGGCTTGCAATAACTTTTTTTATCAAAAGTGTATTGGATTTTTTTCTTCCCTTTATTTTTAGCTCCGCTGTCGACTTTGCCGAGCGGAGCTTATCATATGAGTGATTGTCCGTCGTCGTCGTCCGTCGTCGTCGTCCGTTGTCCATGTCAATGTTTTACTTTTTCGACTTCTTCTTGAAAACTACAAGCCTGAATGCTTTGATACTTGGTGTATATGTACCTTGGGTAGACCTCTCTCAGATTTGTTCATTTCATGATGATATCTTCAATTCTCTAATTTTGGTGAATATTTTTGTCATTTTTGGTAAAAAGTGATATTTTCGACTTCTTGTTGAAAACCGCAAGTCCAATTGCTTTGATATTACATATATAGGTACTACATGTGGACCTCTCCCATTTTTGTTCATTTCATAATGATATCTTTAATTCTCTAATTTTGATGAATATTTTTGTAATTTTTGGTAAAAAGTGATATTTTCGACTTCTTGTTGAAAACCGCAAGTCCAATTGCTTTGATATATTATACATATAGGTACTACATGTGGACCTCTCTCAGATTTGTTCATTTTTTAATGATATCTTCTGTTCTTTAATTGCCATGTGCATTGCTAACAGCGGAGCTATCTCAGCCGACAGGCTGCTTGTCTTAACACTACTTTAAATAGATCAATCTTTTTTTTTCTCTTTGGGGTTTCTAATGGTCAATCTGTAACCATTAAACGTTTTTGGGCTATTGTTTCCACCAAAGAAGCATCTATGAAAGCAAATCCTGAAAATTACACTAGGTTTATTTTTCTGGAATGAAAGATTCTATGACTAATAGGAATAAAATAAGATTAGCATTTTAAAAATATGAATACAAATAATTGATAATTTATTTAAAATTAAGGCACAATAACATTTTAATCAGATTGAGGTAAGACCAGACTAACAAAGCATGTCTGCTTTTAGTTGATCTGTTAAAAAAATGTATTGGCAAATATTTCAATGCTAGTTATATTTTTGGTGTAGAAATTATATTTGGTTATGACAGTTGGTTGAAAATAGATCAAATTAGGATTTTGATTTTGGGAAGGGTGGATGATTTGAAATTGCTTGGAAAAGACAAGATTTTCCAGAAGAACAAAATTGTTTTCTGAACTGATAAGGGGATTACATTGGGGATATACAAAAATAAGAGCTGACACCTGAAAAATATAGCCACTTTTAAATAAATAGGGTTTTAAAATACAAAATTACGCTGACATTTTGAACTGGTTGAGTTTTTAGAGTAGATTAGTGGTGACACAAACATCAACTACATGGTGCATCGTGATTCAATGATTCAGTTATTTCCGTAGCGTAGCAACTGGACTTCGTCAACACAATCTTGTGGCGCATGCGCTATTGTCACAGCTCGTTACATTCTGACCAATGAGAAGAATTTGCATGATAATTATTTTACAGCAGAGCAATCTTGCGTGTTGTGAAAACCAAACAGTGTACATTACGCTTCACATACTGTGGACGCGCGCCGAAAACACCGCAGTAGGTGCGAACTACAAAACAATCCTCGACGGCGTTTTCAGACGAGACAACTGTCAATTATATTCATCGACAGAGCCAATTATACAGACAGGTTGGATAGACGGTAAGCAATTATACGGCTATACTGCATTTATCGATAGTATGTGTACCGTAAAAAATGTCACCGACACCTTACCACCGGTTGTACAGGCAGGTGTATGTAGCATTAACATTAATCAATGTGGGTGCATTTTTCTGAGCATCTTCACGCCTAGAACATAGATTTAACACATTATTTGAGCATTCGCGTGTGGCGTAAGCCAAAACTGCGTAATTGTAATGACAGCAGTATGAACTAAGAGATTTGCTGACATTTTATGCGAGGTCAGCGAGGGGCCTACTGCAATAATGTAACCCTTCATGGCGGCGACCTGCCACTGTGAAAACAATCATACTAGCAACAAATACCCTATTCAGTTAACTACACAGATATGTTTACAGTAAACAAAAGTAAATCTCTCGATGTTGACGACCACCCGTTATATTTAGCTATTTATTATCATGCGTGTCGTTATCGTAAAATTATAATTACTTCCCGTGTTGTTCGTATAGCATTGTATTGTATTATCCATTCGTCCACGACAGCGATGGGAAATTAAATTATGTGACTGACCCGTGCTCGCATAATACTAGTGGACGTGACAATACAGTGCTGTCGTACGCTGATATACCGCATGCCACAAACGTAGATAATGATCAACGTGTACATTATGTTAACTTCATTAGCATAATATTAAGCATAAATATCTAACTAGTTCTGTAATAGTGTAACCCAATGTGACAAGTTAATATTTATTCATAATCAATACAATCAATAAGAAATCCGCCCCTCGTTTTGATGGTACTTTCGGCACAACAAACCTGTCAGAGGCGGCGACACGAAATTTTGCACGGGGCCCAATAAACGAGCGCGGTGCGCAGCAACATCGTTCGCAAATTTCCCATTGTTATTTAATCGGCCAACAATAACATCTCATTTCAGTTCAAATTTCGAAGTTGATTACGAGAGCGAGTTATTGTGCTGCGAGTATCTTTTTATTTTCTCCGTTGCTTGTTATTTATTAAATTATTTTATTGTCGTAGGTTTCTACAGTCTCATTAAAAAAAACGCGACGGGGATAATTTCAATTTACTCGTTGCCTTGAGCAGCATGTATAATGCATTAATCAAGACAAGAAGTGCCCAAAACGTACAATTGACTATTGTATCAGCTTACTCAAAACATTCATGTTGAATATAGGTGCATAGTTATGGTTGGTTGGCATTGGGTCGAACATGGAGGTATAAACAGTTCAAGTTTCCGTCGTCTACTGCATGCGCGGAGTATTCCGGAGGAACATAGTTTTAACAGCATTGCACAGACCGTAAAGTAGACTTCAATTTAAGCTAAAACATAAGTGGGTCAATTCTGTGCAACCCTGCCAAAACAGCCGTTGAAATGACCGATAAAAATACCACGGAAAAAACAACAAAACTGATAGATCGGCCGATTTTAAAAATTAAATCGCGCAAGTAAATTTACTCTTATTCTCGTAAAACACCGCATAGTAACCGAGAAATAAAAAGGCCCGCCCTTGGTTACGAGGACAGTGAACGCGAGCGTCGGAAATGATCATGGGGTTCAAGGGACGTTTAGACAGACAAGATGGGAGGATTAACTCGACTAGAAACAAATGAAAATTTAATAGGCTTAAACCAGTTGTGACTCCTTCTGTTTATACCTCCATGGGTTGAACGATACCTTTACAAATAATAAACGAATAGTGTGTAAATAAACGAAGTCATTATATGCCCTCGTCTGATGGAGGCGATATGCATTACCGAGTGCCTGGTTTCCGCGCGGACAGGGGCGGACAGACACTTGCAATAATAAAATTTAAACCCCAGATCACTAAAAAAGTTTGTACGTGTTCATACCGATTAACTTCAAATTGCAATATGAGTACTTGGTTTTGATTTACTATTTTTAGTGAGTTAGGTGACGTTATTTGAGCATATTGAGACCCTAAGGCATATGGTTTTAGCTAGTATGCAGTTACCAATAAACAAATAAATTAAAAGTGAGATGACGTAACTGATACATCGTTCTGATATTTTATTACCAATACATAGACGTGAGACACGTTTGAGTTGGCGAGCGAGGACTGAATGTAAATAACGGCCGCCGTTGACACTGTGGGTCTACTAGGGCCAAACATATACCATACCACGAGCCCCAAATTTTATTTTTGCGGCGTCACTGCGTTATTGAAACAATTCCGTATATCCCCATCCGGGGGTTACTTCCATAGAATTGCAATACCGGTATGTGCCGCCCGACCGGGGTGTCATTTCATGTTTTTTTTGTTTAGAAGTGGGTAGTAGTCATTTATTAATGTTTTTGTTTAGAATTGTGTAGCATTTATTTATTTTTTCATAAGTCTTTATATTCAAAGCTAGACTTGCTTGCAGTCTGTTGCGATTCCGATCCGATGAAAAATAAAGATAAATTGCGTAAACGAGGTGTGACCACGAAATCCCAACAGACTAAGAAGACTTGTCATCAGTGTAAGCGCCCTCACATTACCGGCCAGATTCGGGCTTGTAATGAATGACATGTCTAATATGTTTCAACCAATCAGAAGACAGGCTAATTAACATATCAACTGAGACCCAGGAAACCATACACACTTTCTTGGATATTAAAACTTAGATCCCGAAAACTTTACCTACTTTCTCATATCCGAATCGCATATGCCATTATATTTTAGATTGAATTTCGAAAAAAAAACGTGCAATGTTACCAGGAGATGTCCGGTTTATAGTTATGATCCGAGGCTCGGTTGCTCCACCCACGTATATGCAAATTTACAAGCCCGAATCTGGCCCCTCGTTTACGCAATTTATATTTATTTTTCAAGAATTTTTCATCGGAATCGCAACAGACTGCAAGCAAATCTAATTCAAATCCAGATACCGGAAAAGGCTGAATAAAATGCGTCGCCCGGATGCGCTCGCTAGTTGCAAAAGTTACTGCATATGACAACACCTGTGTTTAGAAGTGGGTATATAAATAGAAAAAAATGGTTTAGAAGTGAGTATGGTTTACGAGAGGTGGGCTGCACATGTAGCCCACCCCAGGGGCCTGTACCTTTAAGTTTCACACGTTTCAAAATTAATAAACCTGGTTACGTAAACGACATAACAATCTGGTCTGGGCGTATTAGAGCCCCGGCCGATAAAGAATGTGCTGTCGTCACTTCCGGGAACGTGAAGTCATAGTCGCGCGTGACGTAGTTCATACAATTGCTACTACGTGAACCATCAAAGCTAGCGTGGTCGTGATTCAACTTTCATTTATTTAATAACAAGAAAGTTAGGACTCGGATATCAAGTAATTTCGGTCCAAGAACGCTTATAATTGGACAATACCGATGGCCGGAATCTCTACAGACGGCGGAAACAGGAATTCTTGTGAGTCAAATACATGTGCGTGGGCTTATGCGTGAACAGGGCCGTGACTGTAAAATTCGCGTTCGTAATTTGTTTTTTTCCGTGTCAGTGGCCTTTATTTGCGACAATTACACAAGATTCACAGTACAGGAAAACGGCAGGCGAATATAGCAGTATCGTGATGGTCGCGGGCTTTGTCCGCGCAATACGCGTACGTCGTAGAGGATGTACATGGTCTTACATGCGTCCAAATAGCCGACTCGCAAGTTTAGTCTAATTATGGTGTTGACAACATCTTTACAATGCTCGCACGTGTTGCAGCTCGCATATACAATATATGCATATTCTGAATGAACTATATTATATGTTTGACTTCACCAAAACCGTGAATGAAGTTTATTAATGTTTCTCTCATTTATGTTTTTGACAGCTACCGACAAAATGTCCAAGAGGGCGTGGGGTACAGTGACCAAGCCACCATCGATGGACTTGGGATGGCAAAAAATGACTAACTACGAGATCGACCAGACAGTGGAAAGATTGTACTATGTCCCTAAACCCAAATCCAGAGAATACAAGCGACAAAACCCACAATTAACAGAAGATCAGATCACTGATATGATGGAAAGACTGACGAAGAACGCTGGCGATAAAGCTCCTGATGCAAGACGGATTGCGGAGGGTCCTCTAAAAGACATGGGAGTCGTCAACTCATTCGCGTGGAAGGGCTACAACTGATGGAATCGACGCGGATATTATATGGCGTTTTATCAAGAGAAATATGTGTGTTTGTTAATATCTCATGACGTCAGCATCATTTCGCCTCAACCTGTAAACGATTTGTATTGTTAGCTTTAGATTTTGATTTTTTTAGTCGATATTTAGTTTATTCGATGCATAGTCATGGTGACGGTACAGAGAAATAAAACACGTTACTTTAATTTGGTGTTGTGCCAGTGTATACATTTAGTGCTGGTGCACTGGGTGTTCATCGGTTGGCTCAGTGTCTGCCAATTCTCTTTCTGAACAAAATCATTAAAATGGTCGTCTAACATTGCAAAACGTTGAGCCTGGCCGCGGTTTCACTGTGGGTCTAAATCCATGCTGCGATTGTAAGTGCCAGGTAACAATTTCGACCTTACTTTTATTCCATGCCTATACTTATAACCAATTTTCTATTTTTTTATTCTTGATGTTGCCAATTATAATGTAACTGTTTTTCGTTTTGGGAAATTTGATTTTTTTTTCTACTTATCACATTGCTAAGAATTGTAAATATTTATTACATTTTTTGTGTCAAAATGTGATTATGATGATCGGTGCTATACGACTACACCGTGGATGGCGCCTGTGTACTGAATGTTCACAGTACGACACTCCCACGACTCTCTGAACAGAATCGTGTTACAGCAGCGCCACCAATGTGTAGTATTTACTCAGTACTCACAGGGTTTTATTTTCGCCGATAGCTCAATGCACCAAATTAAAACCCAGCTGATATTCAAACTTAACAATATTATGTATTGTTTCATCCACAAACCAGTCAGGTTAAAACTCCGCGAATACCTCTAACATTGAACCCCCTATAATGAGACCCAAGCATTTTTTTCCCTCTACAGTACGTTGATTTGATCGTTTTTATCCAACGAGGTTTACTCGTAATACATGTGTAGCAGTATACTGTATATGATGGCGTACCAATGTGATGTTTGTATATATGTTTACAAAGCGAACAAACAATGTGAAAATTACAAGGTACTATTCTCAAAATTGGAAGCTACATTTAAAAATTTATATTGTCGATTTTTTTTAACATTACCAACTTGAAGAAAGATAATAAACATACATTATTGCCAACCAACCCGTCGAAGTTTTGTGTTTGAATTTTGTATATAAATGTGATTTTTTTGAGATACAACATGCCACATGTCAGTCCAGCATCTCCCACATAGCAACGTCTACTGTATATTCCGGCGAATGCGTCAGACGGCCATGATGTGTCGTTGTTTACAAACAAGCATCTACCTATGATGAGCCTGTGCTTTTTAGCATGCGTTGTTATCGTCGCTTAGGACTCGCGCGTGCGCATGTGACGCCCCCCTTTAAAAGCTTGAAGGGTGGCGGTCTCCGCGCATGTGCGCCATTTGTGTTGATAAACATTGATTTTCCAAACAATCAGCGCGCTCTTCTAATGGAAGTACGAGTTTTGACCTCGGCACGACGTGTACTAAGTACCATCGATGTCTATTTCGATACCTTCCAATTACCAAAGAGAACAGGTTTAAGCTTGGTAACGTCTCAGTTCGTACACGTTGGTCTTTTAAACAATGGAGCTAAAACAAGTCTTTTTTTAGCTCCATGTTTAAACCATGCAGTGCCCCAGTTACTCGTCGGGTACTTAATAACCGCATACTCATTAGAACATACATTTGCCCTAAAATGATGAGTGTAATGTTTGAGCCACAGTGACGACCCCCCCCCCCGTGACACCCCCCCCCGTGACGACCATGACAATTTGCCAAGAAATTGCTATTTTATGACATCAAATTGGCCTAAATGAGTGAAAACAGACAACTATGGTTGAGTAATTATTTGTCATTCAGAATATAGAAAATACCCAATCCCCCCGTAAGAGGGTGTTTTACTGACGGCGACACTGCATATCAAAACGGCGCACATTCATACCCACTTTCGCCAAGGAATCGCTGGGGGTGCGTCTTATAGGTGCATTATCTTCTGTACATTTCGAGTTATTTAAAATGTGTGTTACAACTGCTTACGTGAAACTCAGTTCGTAGTGATTTGCAAAACTCTAGATGTTTCGTTCCATTTTTTTTATTTTGCGATAATTTTTTTGGGTCGATAAACTATTTTTTTTTTCTTCATAAAACTGGATTGCCCTGTCGAGAACTGGATCTTTGAACGGCCCAGTTGTTACATTGTTAAAAAATACACCCCACAGCACTCTGCTTAGGCTGATGATTATCCTCAACAACACTGATCAGGGAAATTACATATAAAAGTAATGAAAATAATTGACCGAAGGTGAATAAAGCAAGTTGCAATTATATACTAGTAAATCAGTTTCAACAAATTTCAGGTGTGTTTTCGAAAATAACCAAGTCTGAACAATTAGGAAATGCGTTAACGAATAAGAATTTCTTCACGTTCCTGGTCAATTTAGAAAGGTCAATATGAAAATGCCACGTCCACATAAAATGTGTAAAATGAAATCATAAGCTCGATTCACCGTTGGCGGCGAAGTGTATGTTATTGATTGCCTTCAATATAAATTCCCAGAGAATCATGAAGATGGTGGGATACATAGTATTGACGAAAAGTTGAATATGATCTAGAGTACGAAAAGTAATAAACCTGAAGAAACCTGTGAATTGCATTCCCCTACATTTGTGGAACACTTTGCGCTAGGGGCATTACGTTGCTTGCTTGGAAACATGAAAACAGTAGCTGATATAAACCCTCAATGATGATTACGGACCGTGTGTACTTGTGAAAAGACTTCAAAGTGTATTTACCCTTTGACCCGTTATAGGTATATTTGAAGCATTTTATTTTATTTGAAATTTATGAAATATTGAATGTTAACATTCAACACCACACGTGGGAACAATTATTTTCAATATATTCTTATTTCACACGGTTTTTAATTTTCTAGAAGCAGAAGTGATGGCGTATGTTTTCTTTCCCGGTTATCTGGAAGTGGGTTGGTTTATTCATTTATTTTTCGCCTTGTAAATTATTATTTGAAAGTCTCTCTGTACAGACAAATGCAAGTGAGGCTGAACATAAACTTAAAGCTACTGAATTCGGCTTAGTGACGTGTTAGCATTAACACGCATGCGCAGATATCGACACCACCTGCCTTGAGTGTTAGTGTGAAATCTGGATTTTCTAAAGCTAACAAAGAGCAGATGTGAGTAAGCTTTTTGCTCCGAGGCTGGGAGAGGGGCACGCCACTACCTGTTTACAGTTAAGCGTCGCTCCTGACGCTAGCGCCCTCAACGGTTCAATCGTTTACCCCAGTACTTGTACAAAGCCCCGCCTATTTACAGATTAATGATAAATAACTTATGTATAATAAATGTATAGCAAATGTAAAAATAGTAATGATATTAAATATTGCACAACTCCTGAACAAAGTAACCGAAGAAATATATATGTTGAAAAGGATATCAGCATCAAGCTACTCCCATATGGTCTAGTGGTTAGGATTTGGCGCTCTCACCGCCAAGGCCCGGGTTCAATTCCCGGTGTGGGAATGCATTTTTTGTTTTTTTGTTGAGTTTTTTTATTACGTTCTTGTGGTATTTTTTTCAATCTGTTTTCATTAGTATTTTTCTTCGACCGGGTTTACGTCTTTTCCCATTTTTCGAGACCATGTTATCTATTTTTTTTCTCTAGTCGAAGTATACAATTTGACTAGGCAGTGTAGCCTGAAAAAATGACTGACCACCGAATTAATAAACATATTGGTATGGATTAGTGGGCTTTATGTGTCGGATTTATGTTTTCGAGTCTGATTAAAGTGGCGCAGATATACTTTTAGCCACGGAATATGTGCAATGCTCTATTTCTGGAGTCGGGAGGGGGTTAATGTGACAACTGTAACAAAGTCAGTATTTAGCTAAAACATGAATTTAGTGAGTAAACATGGTAGGGCAACTTCCTATTTCTATTATTGCCGTGAAGTTAATGAAAAGTGCTTCACGTGCTAGTAATAATGTAGACCAGTTTAACAGGTGAATAAAAAATGAATAGTATATACTTGCTAATTATTTTATTTTTGACAAATTACTAAATTAAATTCTATGTAATGATAAGATTTCATATAAGTGAAATTCATATAATTTCTGATATAAGTGCAAGTATGATCTACACGATCATTGTGTTCTATCACAGTTAACGGTCTGTGTTCTGTGTTTGTTTATTACGCAATTGTTCGCATTATCACGATATGGGGGGGGGGGGCAGGTCCATTAAGATGTCATACACTAACAGTGTCGTATTAAAGACCACATTGGGATGGTTAAACTGAGCAAATAACAAGAGAAATGTAACTTAGCACTAGCTCTATCCCAGAATGCACCGAACGAATGTTTGCTGTTAAAACAACATTCTTATTTAGCAATAAATCATACCCTCCTTTATTTTACCATGAAATATCAATATAAATTATTTACATGCTAAAACATACACAGTAATATCCACAAATCCCTAATCCTCCTTTCAATAAATTCGCTAAGTAAAGTGAAGAGACAGGTAAAAGAATTAGGTTTTTTTCGTTCCTGAAAAATCACACCACAGAATGAAATTGATAGTGCATTTGTATGTACATTTCTACCTATTATCGGTAATAAGACAGTACTGCAGGCGCCTAAATATGTGGGCGACTGCCAGATAATCCATACTTGAATATCGTGAATTGCTTCGATAATCTCTAAGCTGATTGTAATCGTAACTTAAAACGGTCGCAAGTATTCGTGTATGATCAATATTAAACGAGTATTAGCTAGAGGCTCCTGCTCGTATACATCTCATACCACTGTCTGGGGTGTTAATACCGATGTCGCCCTGGATTTGTCCGTTATTACTGGAGGGCCGATGGTGATATCACGCCACTCATGTACCTGGCTATAGTTACTTGCCAACTTGATACATCACAAATATAATCGAAATAGAAAACTAATATAAAACATAATTTCATTTATTAAAAAAAAACACGGATTTTAAATTAAAAATAGTGTTAACCCCCCCTGTCCTACCAACAATTTGCATTTTAGAAGTGTACCCAATTCGTTTCATCCGGAGTTAGTTTGAAATAAGATGAGATCACCATAGAAACCAGTGATAACAACTGTCAAAAACTGACAAAATTACCGCCACCATTGCTGTACGTATTTAGAACATTTTCTCCAAAAAT